GTTAACTGTGAAATGGCCTCCAAAGGCTCATGAAGTTGGACTATGTGATTTCCAAATGGGAGGCTATGGACTCTTTGGAACTGTGGCTAACTAGCACAAGTGGGTCACTGTGGGGCTCTTGAAGGCGATGTTCTCTTCAGGCTCTGAGCTCTCCACTCCCTGATCTGTCATAATGTTTATTATGTATGCAATGTACTGTCTTCAAGCTAAAAGAGGGCACCATATTATCATTAGAGATGGTTGTGAGCCACTATGTGGGTGCTGGAACTTGAACTCAGGTCCTCTGGAAGAGCAGAGAGTGCTCCTAACCTCTGAGCCATCTCTCCAGCCCCGTCTGCCATGATGCAAGAAGCCCCAACCACAAGCCCTTGCCACCATGGACAGAGCCATTCTGCCACAACTTGCAGGGTGTGAACAAAAATACCCCTTTCTCCCTGTTGTGATTTGAATGGGAAATTCCTCCACAGGTTTATGCATTTGAATACTTTGTCCCTGGCTAGGGGTGCGGCTTGGGGAGGTTATGGAACCTTCAGGAGGTGGAACCTTGCAGGAGGAAGTACATCACTGGGAGCAGCTGGGTTCATGCCATTGCCCTGACCATCTCTCTGCTTATGTGTGAGACTGAGGTGTGCTCTCTCAGCTCCTTCACCTGCTGCCATACGCCATTTGTCATTACGGCCATCTGGCCCCTCTGGAACCATAAGCTATAATAAACTCCTCCTTAAGCTGCGTTTGCTTGTGGTATTTTATTAAAGTAATGCAAAAGTAACTCCCATTGATGCTGCTTCTGTAGGGGATTGATTAAATCAAGAAAAAAGTGTGCTATAACACATAGCACGTGTGTATTCCGCAGTCAATCCCAGAACTATGGTCACATAGACCTGGCGCTGCTTGAGACCAGATCAGGCTTTCCTTTCCATGATCTTACCCATCATGCACAGGGGTCGTTGACTGCGTTTCCTTTCTGCATCCATGCTTCCCTATGCAAGCCCCTCCTTCATCCTCCTTCCCCCCTCCACACCCCACCTACCCCTCTTCACTTGTCAGGGATTAAGTTAGGAAAACAGAAATGAAATGAACGCGGTTCTGGCAACCCTTCCCCGGAGACGCTGACTTACACAGGGCTCACGCCGCTGATGATCTTCTATCGATTTCCTCTCTAATTGCCGGAGCAGGATCTATATTCATTTTCTGTCTCAAACTTCTCTTTTGTTGGTTCAATCAGCTAAATGAAGGGCCCATTTCTCTCTGCTTCTGTCTCCAGAAAAGCTGAAGAAGTTTCAAATGAAGAGCTTTCTTCTGAAGTCAGGAGGTCGGCAGGCAGGAACAGAGCGGATTAGAGGTCTGATGACCCCTTCTGAAGCCTGGGCTGAGAACGCAATGGGAAAGAAAGTCCCAGAAGACAGGTTAAAATGAAAAGAAGTAGAGGTATTCTACCTTGAGATCACATAGAAGGAGTCTGTCCGTCCGTCCATCCATCCATCCACCCATCCATCCACCTATCCACCCATCCCTTTTGTCAAGCAAGGAGCAGATCCTATGGTAAGAAGTAGATGATATACCTAGAATGTGCTGAAGGGGCACAGTGTTTGCCTACATGGAGGCATGTGTGAATTGAGTTCCCATATATTAATTAAAATCCCACAGATGTATAATCTGTGTTATACAAGTGTCTGTGTCAACTTCAAAAGCAAAAGGAAAGCACACTGGGGCTAGGAATCAGAAAGAATCCAAGCAAGGCTTGTGATCTCTTTTCAGCCCCACATAACTGAATATGTACATCTAAGAGACAAAAGGGATGGAGGGAAGTTTCCAATCTCGTGAACACCCAGTGCCTTCCTCTCCAGCACTCATTAGATCCAAGAGACAGACTGAGGCATGTGGCACATGAGTTGAAGGAAGGTAGCTGGTGTAAGAAAACTATAGCCAGCCAGCGTGCTGTGAGAAGTGGGGACGGCAAGGGCACAGTGTGGTGGGGGGATGTGGGAGGACTTCCTGGGTGTGGCTCCGAGGACTTATGGGAAACAGTCCTCTTGCAACCTCTGGGTGCTTGGCCTTTTGTCTTGCATTCTCTGGGTGCTTGGCCTTTTGACAAAGTCTGTGGGTGATCAAATGAAGGGTTGGGCTGGCCACCTGATATAACATCCGACTTGACTGAGAATCAGTGTGAGAAGAAATTGGAGTGTGAGGAGAAATTGCAGTGACCCCCTTTCAGCTTAAGAGCTTGCATACCAAACCAAACCTCTTTCGTCGTGATCTGCCTCCAGTTTTGGACTGCTTGGTAATCAGGTCTCCTGCTCTTAGCATTCACCCCTGATTGTATAAGAGACATCGGAGATCCCTCAGTATCTATTCTTAGAATGTGGCTCTATCTTACCTCTCTAGCACATTCCACAGTCAGTGACTTGCTTTCTTTCTCCGACCCTCTGCTCAGGTGAGTACATGAGACATATTGGGATACTAGGCAAGACAGAGAGGCTTACAGTTCTGTGACATATGTTCCTATTTTAATATAAAAGGCTAGTACAATAATGTGTTCTTTGTCCATTGAACTCTTCCACAAATTCATTGTCTCTCATGTCAATTCCCCCTTAATCAGTGCTTTGGGGGAGCTGACTGGATTTTCTGTGAGACTCTCTTACTAGAATGTACGGTTTGCCACGCCAGGAGAGAGAATCGGATAGTTAGTGGTGCATGGTGGTGCATGGTGGAAGATGGGAAGGTAAGGATATTTTGGGCATGCACCTCCAGAGGGATGAGATTTAGAGGCAGAGGTTACTAAATCCCAGCACTTGGGAGACAGAAGCAAGCAGATCTCTGTGAGTTCTGGGTCAACTTTGTCTACATTGCAATTTTCAGGCCATCTTGGGCTATATAGTAAGACTCTGTACAAAAAAAAAAAAATCCTAAGAAGAGAAGAACTGGGTAAGATTCCTAAGTCTTAATTGTGTTTCCTCAGTTCATCAGTCCCTTAGTAGGAGTGCCTTCTTAACTGAGGTCCCAACATTTCAACTCACATTAGAGCAGTTTTTCATTTCTTATTCCCGTTCCTAACATACTATGTTTCCATTTCCAGCAGAGGCCCTTCGTCATCGGTAACTGATAAACTGCGACTGTCTTCTTAGGGGAAATTCTCTCCATTTCCCTTACACCGAACGCCCTCTGTTAGAAAAACCCATGTCCTCAGACTATCTCTGCCAATTTGGCGTTGCTTTTATTTTTGCTGTGTCTCTCTCTCTCTCTCTCTCTCTCTGTGTGTGTGTGTGTGTGTGTGTGTGTGGTTGTGTGTTCATTTGTGGATGGCCATACACATGTATTATACATGCATGTGTATGTACATGCATGTGGAAACCAGAGAGCAACCTAAAGTGCTTGTTCCTCAGGAGCCAACCACCTTGATTATTGAGACAAGGTCTCTCAATTGGACCTGAGGCTCACAAACTAGGTTAGACTGTTTGGCCAGAAAGCCCTAGGAAATCACCTGCCTTGCCTGTATAGAACAAGGTTATAAGTATAAGTCACCGTGGTCGGGGCTCGAACTTGGGTCCTCATGTTTGCATGGCATATGCTTTACTAACTGAGCCTCTTCCCCAGCTCCTCATTTCTGTCTTATCAAGACAAACGATCCAAAAGCATTGGTTAAGAGCACAGCTTATGCAGAGAGGCACACTGAGGCACAACTCTCAGCTGGGACATTTAGTGCTTGAGTGATCTTTGGCAAATGACTGGCTGTCCAACGTGCACATCTGTAAAATGGGAATTATAATGCTGCTAAGTCAGGGTGGTTGTGCAAAGAAGCAGATGTAGTTAGTAAGGGCTCAATAAACAGTAGCTGCTATTAGTGTTATTATCAATTTCTAGAAGTCGATATCTAATCAAGGGCTTGATAGCATGATTCAGATGTAGTGCCGAAGATGCTAGGGGCAGAGGGAGGGGGAGCAGGAGCACGCGGGAATTTGAGTTTTCTGCAGGCTCCAAATGAGTTGCTGGGCAATTAAGCTGCCAAGGAAGATGGGAAGGTAAGGATATTTTGGGCATGCACCTCCAGAGGGATGGGATTTAGAGGCAGAGGTTACTAAATCCCCTAATAGAAAGAGGAGGTTGGGGGAGGGTACAGACCAAACTCTTTGCTTTAGTCTACATCCTTAGATTTAGGCTGGCTCACCAACATGGCTTGGAGTAAATGTCACTGTGCGGGTAAAACACACAGACAATTACAAGCCTATAGCTTATACTTGTTAAATAATAATTGTTATTAGCAACATGATCGTTATGATTATTATTCTGCTCCAACAAGCCGGCACCTTGCTGTAAGAAATGATAGCGTGGCAGTTATCTCTAAGGAATGGGAGATATACATCCCCAGCCTGTTGGGGACTCAATATAAGAGCAACACCTGAAACTAGGAAGTGTGTTTGCTTCACACCTCCAGGAGTCTGTGGTCTAGAAAAGGTCTTTGGTAAGGTAGCAGAGAAGGGTGCTGCATGCTGATGTGGTTTGAACCTGAAATGTAGGCTCGTTTTGAAGACTTGACCCCTAGTGTGAGGTGCCGCTTCAGTGGCTGTGGAACCTGTCAGCAGACAGGGCCTTGTGGCAGAGGAGTCCCTGCCACATGTTTCTGCCACCATAGACCCCCACCATGTCTTTTCACGGTGACATTCTTTAGAAACAATACACTTTATTTCCAATCAAATGTTTCTGCCCAATATTTTGGCCCTGGCGACACACGAGCGACTAATTCATGTACTTTGATTATCCTGTTCCCATTGTTAACACAAGTTCCAAACCTCATACGAGTTGAAATACCTTTTAGTATTCCCAAGGTCACACAGTAAAATAAGACTCTAATTTCTCTAGTTTTCAAAAGAATCTAACAAAAAGTTTATTGGCTTGTGAGGACAGTGGCCATGAAGACCATGGAGTCTGAGCACAATGATGTCACAACGAAGTCTCCAGAGTACAATGAGGGCATGTTCTGTTTAGCTGTTGCCCACGGCAGGAAAGGGTGTGGAGGTGGCAGTGACCTGGAAGTCTGAGAGGTTGAAGAGAAGAGATGCGGGCAGTGAATTCACAGGTGCTCTGTGAGGAGGAGAAATGATGAAAAAAAATGGAAGGTAAAGATGTTATACAAAACAAACCAGCTCCCTTCCAAGAAGATGCGTCTTCTATCATGCCGGATGTAACCTGACACTCTTGCAGCCCTAACACCACCAGCCCACCTAAGTCCACAGTGATCCGAGGATGAATGCAGTACCTGGCCTGGGATTTGACTAATTTTTGTGTTTCCCTTAAGTGCTTTGCAAAACTAACCAGTTGCAGAAAGCCAAAGTGGAGAAGCCTCAGTGGGGGGGCTATGCCAATTCCTGCTCTCACTCCCTGGATAGATCATTCTGGGAGAAAGACAAGTGTCATTCCCATTAGCAGCCAGGTTTGCCCCACTGACAGAAGATACCAGGGCATGACCCTAATGCCTCCTGCATCCTTGTGCAGGTTCTGCTGCGTGACACATCCATTTCTGCTCCATTTCTGAGGATTTGACTTAAGCAGACTTGCTTATGGACCCATGACAGAGTGTCTGACTTCAGGTGACTTGTTTATGGGCCCATGATGAAGACCAAGCCCCTTGGGATGCACTGGAGATAGTGGTAACAGTAGACCTTTCTGGAAACCCCCTTAGAAAGACTGTCAGTCTCATCCATTAAAGGTCAGGAAATCCCACTCCGCAGCCTATTTTCTTTTAATTTGGGTTAAGTGTCCTTGTGGCACAGCTATGCTCAAGAAAGGGAACAGCTTTCAGAGTTCAGACAAGCCTTTAGCAGGGTAATTTCTTGATCCAACCAAACAAAGCCCAGAGGCAGAGCTCAAAGTTGATTTGGATGTGGAGAGACCAGGAACATGGAGAGTTCCTTTCTGTCCTGGAATACCCTGAGACTGTCAACCTGCCTGCATGGCTTCTATCAAGCCATTAACTCTCAGGTGAAGGGTTCTCCACCCGCGGTAGACACTGAAGCCTTCATCCCTGCTGTGTGGTGCTGATCCTGACCCTGGTGGTGGTGATGTGATGGTGTTGGATAACGGTTATTATTTATCTACTGTGCTCCAGCTGCAGTTTCATGTACCTCACATGCATTGATGGGCTGAGCACCTAGGAGGTGGGCACCATCATTGTCCTGGTTTAAAGACTAAACCTCCAAGAGCAGAGTTTCCATGTGCCACCATACCACACAGCTCCAAGGGCTCCTGCCATTGTAATCCGTGGTCCGTATGAATGGAGTCCACTGGAGTTGTCTGGGTCACAAATTGCAGCTGATCTGTAGAGACATTTTGAAACTTCCCAAGGTCGCAAAGGTAACCAGCAGATGGTTTAGTTCCAGAGTCCTTGTCCCTGATCAGTACACCCACCCAGAGCTGCTGTACCAGGATTTTGGCTAGGCAATAGTTATACTGTAGGCATGATGGGCTGGGTTAGCTTTCCGTTGTTTTAATCAATGGCTCGGTTAAAGAATTTATAAATCAGAAAGGTTTGTTTGGGCTCATGGTTTTGGAGCTTCCAGTCCATGATCGAAAGGTGATGCGATGTTTGAACAAAGCCATTTACCTCACAGCTGGGGCATTAAAAGGGTACAGCAGAGGGGTCCCACTACCCACTTCAAGAGTATAGTGGCAGTGACCGGAAAACAAGGTTTCACTTCCTGAAGCTGCCACTAAGCTGGGAAAGAGCCTTTAATGGAGACACATAGGCGCCACACTGGAAGCACAGACCATGTGGTTCTGTTTCAGTTCTTTGTGTGAATTCGCACATGTGCACACATGTTTGTGTGTGTGTGTGTGTGTGTGTGTGTGTGTGTGTAGCGTTCATGTCTTTGGCTATATTCCTTTCTTGTTTTGTTTTTATTGAGGTATATATTTTACTCCACTCCCCTCCCTTCTTCCTTCCTCCCCTTCTACCTTCTCCCATGATCCCTATGCTGCCAATTTACTCAGGAAATCTTGCCTTTTTCTACTTCGCATGTAGATTAGATCCATGTATTGTATGTCTCTCTTATGGTCCTCTTTGTTGTCTAGGTTCTCTAGGGTTGTGAATTGTAGGCTGGGTTTTCTTTGCTTTATTTCTAAAAGCCACTTATGAGTGAGAACATATTATATTTGTCTTTCTGGGGTCTGGATTACCTCACTCAATATGGTGTTTTCTAGAACCATCCATTTGCCTGCAAATTTCAAGATGTCATAGTTTTTTCTGTGGTGTAGTACTCCATTGTGTAAATGTACACATTTTCTTTATCTGTTCTTCAGTCAAGGGGCATTCAGATTGTTTTCAGGTTCTGGCTATGACAAACAATACTGCTATAAACATAGTTGAGCACATGTCCTTGTAGCACGATTGAGCATCCTTTGGGTATATACCCAAAAGTGGTATTGCTGGGTCTTGAGGAAGGTTGTTTCCTAATTTTCTAAGAAATTGCTGTACTAATTTACAAAGAGGCTGTATCAGCTTACACTCTCACTAGTAATGCAGGAGTGTTCCCTTTACCCCACAACCTCTCCAGCATAACATGTCATCAGTGTTTTGATCGTGGCCATTCTGACAGGTGTAAGATGGAATCTCAGAGTTATTTTGATTTGCATTTCCCTGATGGCTAAGGATGCTGAGCATTTTCTTAAGTACCTGTCAGCCATTTTAGATTCCTCTGTTGAGAGTTCTCTGTTTAGGTCTGTACCCCATTTTTTACTGGATTGTTGTTCTTTTAGTGACCAGTTTCTTGAGTTCTTTATATATTTTGGAGATCAGCCCCCTGTCCAATGTGAGGTTGGTGAAGATCTTTTCTCATTCTGTAAACTGTCTTTGGCTATATTCACATCTTTGGGCAGATGCCAGTGGCCAGTGGCCATTGTCTTCCTTAGTCACGACCCACCTTATTCTTTTAAGACAAAGTCTCTTGCTGAGTCTGGAGCTCACTAGCTCAGCCAGCCTGGCTGCCAGTGAACTCAAGTTTTCTCCTCTTTCTGCCTTCCCTCCTGGCCTTTCATGCGAGTGTTGGAGATCTGAACTCAAGTCCTCAAGCCTCCACTTTGTTGCCTGAGCTGTCTCCCCAGCCCTTAAATTCATTTTTGATATTCGTTATTACAAAGATACTACATGTTTTCTAGCAGCTGTGGCAAATATCACAAAAGCATTCAATACCTCATCAAAGTACCCTTCTCCTATAGTTTCCCTTATAGGTCTCTGTCTCTTGCATTTCCACCACTCCCCAACTAACAAGAAACGGACTAGACTTATTTTATTTCAATTTGAGGCAGGGCTGACCTGAGAAGGAGAAGCAATCAGGCTTTCGGTTTATGACAAGCTTCTGGCTCAGGACATACCCGCTGCCTGTGTCTCTCCAGTCTAGCGATAAGATGGGAATGCCACCCTGTCCACCCCATACACAACTTCAAGGAGTCTGTTTTAAAGAGCTTCATAAATGGGCTTCTCAGAGCCTTTGAATTTTACTGCGGTCTATTAGACTCCTGCCAGGAGGACAAAGCAAGCATCCAGATATTATAGCAGGAGCTAGATAGCTTCTGCCCTCTTATTATGGATGCTGGAGATCAGCAGGTTCTTCTGAGCAGTTCCTGGCTAAGGCAAGAGCAGCAACCACAGCATCATTGCTAGACAAAGGTCATTCACCCCCAAGGACCATTTTCATCTTAAAGACATCTGCGTGTCTTTTTGCTTCTCTTTTTGCTTTTACAAAATGAGCTCGTACTCCATTTGTCTACAGTCAATTTTTTCCCTGCTAGGCTCACCATTACATACCATGCACCTGCCCCCACGGTGACTCAAGAGAATACCAAACACCTTCTCCCACAGGGTGTGACGGTCTCTCGTGACACTACAGATTTTTTTGGTTGGCTTTCTGTTGGTGGATGCTCAGATGATTTCCATTTCTTTCTTGCTTTATTGCTATTAAACGTGCTCCCACAAGGGCTTCCAGATGCCCGTCCACGTCACACTCTTACTTCCGTATGTGGGAATTGCTGTGCTGAGGGATACGCCTTCAGTCCCTTTGAATGATATGGCCAGGTGGCATTGGACACAGAAGAGACGGTTTTTGGAGGGTGAGGCATAATGGCTGGAAAGTGTTCCTGAGGAGTGGGGGAGGCTGGGGGAGCTGTTGCTGATCTGAGAGTTTTGTACCTTGGCAGAATGAGCAGCTTCATCTTGAGGAGGCCATGGAGGAGGCAGGGTCCTCTGGGGAAATCTTATTCTCAGTTAAGGCAGGAGGTGGCAGGAGGGTTCTTGGAAGAGTCTGAGAACAGCGGGTATGGAAGTCTGTGTGCAAGAGGACAGGGACGAGCAGCAGGGATGGGAGCTGAGAGGTTAGACCAGGACTTGGTGGTGTGGGAAGGAGAGGGCAGGAGGCAGCAGAGGCTGGTGGGAGGGCAAGTCTTCAGGAGTTGAGGTAAGTAGTGATGGATGAGAGAGGTGTGATGTTGGGGGTGGGGTAGGGATGTCGGGAACAGCTGGATTCCAGGTGGCGGCACCTAACCAGCACTCAGATTTGATGACACTTGCAGCCTGGTTTTATGACCCTCATCTTAGGTTTGAGTCCCTGAAGACAGCCTAGTAATTTGGTTTTGTGTGCCTTATTGGGAGGGGACTCTTAGGGAAAGCTTGTAGGTGACAGAGGGTAGCAGGCAATGGTAGGGGAGAGACCCAAGCAAGATCTAGCCTTGTCTATCTCAACGAGTAAATCATAGCATAGCGTGGTTACTCGGCTAGACAGAAGGGACATGCTTTCACACAGAGATTCCAGCCTGTCACTGAAGACCGCATCTGAGATATTAGTGGGACAAGGGCAAATCCCTAGAAAGTATCATGGTCACAAACTGGGAGCAACAGTACTCAAAGTGGCAGCAGCAGCTCAGAGGGCAGTGCATGGGTAGACAAAGGGACCCTGCAAAGACTCAACAGTGTCTATGGTAAGGTTCAGAGATGTCAAGAAAGAAACTGAGTCAGGATCCTGTCTCCATGGATATGCAATCCAGATGGGCAATGGAGACAAGATACCCTACTTCCCACTGCTTCCCAGGGACTTTGTTCCTAAGATGCACAGAGAACATGCCAGTAGGTGGACAAGACTCAGATTCTGCCGAGTTACCGGCTTGCCAAGGCCTGGCTTGGGAGCACATTAGAAGCTTTGATTTGCAAAGGAGCAGCTGCCCTGAAAACCAAGGCTAAAGACTGGTGAAGGTGGAGAGTCCTGGAAACCAGCCACTACTTGGAGTCCTGTGGGAGGAGTCCAAGGGCCCTGCAGCATCTGGAAAGTGTGCAGAAGAACGGCCAGCAGGCCAAGACTGCACCTGCTCTCCTCACCTCCCCCCGCTACAGTTCACTTCCTTGGAGCACATGGTGCCTCCAAATGCCCAGGCTGAGCTCAAGCATCCCCACTTCATGTATTCCCCTAAGGCACAGGGTACCTACTACAGCCACAGTCTCAAGGTTGAATTGTTGGGTAAAGGGTAAGCAGGTTCTGTTTAATGCTCTTCAAATGTCCATTCCCTCTTTTCCTTGCCTACTGAAGCTGTGCTTCCTTCAGGGTGAAAATGTTCCCAATTTTCAGAGATAGACCATGATTAGTTTTCTAATCCAAGTACAATGATGTAAGACCTGGTTTTCTCAGCAAGCAAGATCCTTTGGGTATCTGGAAAACTTAGTGGTTCTTGGAATCTTGTAT